TTTTTTTTTTTTTTTTTTTTTTTTTTTTTAATAATTCGATGATGGAAAGAGAAAGTTTAATCTCACCTCGCCTGTCGTCGCCACGTATCCGGTGATGCCGACGTTTATAGGAAATCTACTCTCGAACGGACTAAGAAACGATAAAAACGGCAACGTTAGATGATTGATTCTCAACCGTGTAAATATTATTGAAAATTTCCTTTTTTAGAAACATAATTTTTATAAATTTTTAATAATTTATTATTAAAAATAATTACTCTTACTCTTACTCTTCTTTCTATCTTTCTCTTTTTTCTTACTCGCTTTCTTTTTTTTTTTTTTTTTTTTTTTTGATTATAATTATCATTATTCTTATTTAACACCAAACCTACCGATAATTTGTTATACATTTTGTTGTTGTTGTTGTTGTTGTTGTTGTTGATTCAATAAATTCAATAAATAAAAAATAATTTTTATAAAATCAAATTGTGTAAAAAAATGGAAAAATATTTTCATTGAAAAATTTGAAGACTCTGATACGGTTCGGTGTTAATTTGAAAAGGTAATAAATAAATAAATTAATTAATAATAATAATAATAATAATAATAATAATAATAATAATAATAGTATTATATCTTTTGATTTAATGTTACTTACCTCGTACGAGAATCAGAATCTTCACCGGTAAGATCGTTAGCCTCGAAATCAAATACACGTGAAAAGCTTCCTTTCGATGCTTTATGAACCAGTAATACCTATCGATAACGTAAAAAAAAAAAAAAAACATTCCAAACAATTGTACAATGTTACAAACAAACAAACAACAACAATAAAAAGAAATTTGCAATAACATTTTATTGCAATGATATTTGAATTAAGAATAACAAAAAAAAATAAATAAATAAATAAATTGACTAAAATGAAATAATTGACAAAAGAAACAAAAATAACAACAAAAAAGTCATAAAATCGTACCTGTACACGTTGGCATTGAATTAACGATTGAGTGTGTGTTAAAATTCTGAGGACCATATGTTCTATCGTACTTTGTTCCTCGAAGATCATTCTAGCAAGATCCAACAGCACCTGTCGTAGACGTAACGATCCTTTATTAAACATACCTATAGATATGTATGTCTATCAATAGTATAAATGTTAAATAAAAAAAAAAAGTAATAATGAAACTTTTGTTAAAAAAAAAAAAAAAAAAATAATAACAACAACAAAAGTTCCTTTTCTTTCTTGTCTTTTTTTTTTCTTGTCTTTTTCTCTTAATACATACCTGATTTCTTTTAACTTCCAATTGACTTTTCTCGTACAATTGTGCATTTCTCAAACCGATACCGCAAAATTGCAAATAACCGGCAAATACTTTTTCATCCTGAGCGGTAAATTGTGCCTCACCGCCAAGTTTGTTGATGACCTGTGCAACTCCGACTACGTCACCGTTGCAATCCTTGATTGGCATGCACAATAATGCTCTCGTTCTGTATCCCGTAAGTGCATCGATCTCTCGATTAAACCTCGAATCCTTAACAGGATACAAAAATAAGTTTAATTATCGTAGTTCGTTACGAAGAATATATATATATATATATATATTTCCAACATCAATTTAAAAACAACTTTATATAAAGTGATTTTAATTAAGTGTAATCATCAAAGGTAAAGAATGTTAAATATATATAAAACCTTATAAGCGTCTGGTATGTTGACAGGTTCACCACTTTCAGCAACGTAACCAACTATCCCAGTACCCCAAGGAATCTTGATTTCATCTTTCTTTTCCATCTCGAGTAACGTTGACCTCGAACAAACGTCAAAGAGTTTAGAAACGAGACACCTACTTCTCGAATAGGATTGTCCGTAATTTTGATTGACGAATCTTCGTGAACCACCATTGTTTTCGCTATTGTTAATACTAGTCTCGTGATTTTGTAATAATGGTACATGTCCACCACCTCTTTCACCTTGTACAAGGAACAATGAACCGCGATCGGCGTGAAGCAAAGTGCTTACGTTTTGAAGGATCTTGTGACACAATGATCTTACGTCCAACTCGTTACAAATGTCCTTGACCTGATTAAAATAATTAAATATATTTTATTTATTTTTATATTTATACATAACCGGAAAATTCTGTCCGTTTAAATAGTTCATTGGTTTAATTTTTTGGTTCTAGGGATAAAGGTACTTTTTTTTTTAAATGGGATTATACGAATTACCATGAAGCTGTCAAGAAGTCATAAATAATGATATGTTGTTTATATTATATATATATATATATTAATATTCGTGGTATGTGTGAAAAAATTATTTATTTTTAATATATATAATAATATTTAATAACAATAATAATAATATATATTTAATATTAAATATTATAATTATATAATATATAATATATTTATAATATATATCAATTATAATTATAATAATTATATATAAAAAATATTTATATATCTAATATTTAATATATAACTATTAAACTAATAAATAAATATTTTTTATATATTTAATATTTAAATATATAACTATCAAACTAATACACAACTATTTTCTATATATTAATTATTAAATATATAACTTAGATATTTAATATTGATAATTAATTATTTTCTTTTTTTTTTTTTTAAACGGACAGAACTTTTTAGCAGACCTAATATTTATATCAAATACAAATATTCGTTTATAAAAAATAAAAAAGAAGAAAAATCTATAAACGAACCAGTTCAAAAATGAGATCCTTCTCATCGAGATGCCTAAGTTCGTGCCTGGATCGTCTTTGGGTTCGCGCAGAATTAGTTGAACCAACTGGTTGTCCACTTGATTGATCAGTTTCTCCTGATGAAACACTGAGGAACGTAGGTGTACCGTCTATCGTATTGACGATTGGTTTCAAAAGACCACCACGCTCAAATTCGTGAGCAGAGATCTTCCTAACCGGGGTGGTAGCACCAGAGCCACCACTTGAAGCACCTCGACCGGATGACGATGAACCACCACCGGCGTGGGTTGGACTAGACAGTTCTATGCAACTGCTCGATGAGGACGTTGGTGTCGCATGCGACACCAACCACATGTCTACCGTTTGTCGTGTCACCTTTCTAACCAATATGACAGAACATAAAACACACAAATTTATTTTACAATTAATATTCAATTTATTCCTGTATATGTATATACGTAATATTGAAATAATCAAACAATTGGCATTGCAAATGTAACATTGGGAGAAACATCAATATTGAGTGAAGAATTATTTAAGTTAGATATTATTTATCTGATATCGTATTTCTATCTCGTGCCGACATTATGACGCGGATATGCGGATTGCGCATTGTCGTCATTAATTTAGTCGTTTGCATAAATGACAGGAACACATCACAGTGTAAATCTATGCATTCGATATGCAACGGATGACACCGCTCGTAATATACTAACTGTTATTTTTCACTGACAATCACCGAAAATGACCTTTCACATAAAATACATTCAGGTATATTCTATATTTCATACAAAATTTATTTCATTCGTTGTCAAATCATCGTAAGAATAAATTTATTATTCATTTGTTATATGTACACAACACATACAAATTCACTGTACTTTGTATAAAAACTTTTATTATAATCAAGCGAGTTAAACGATTACGTTTAAATTCCTAGTGTATGGTAATTGTTCATTTTGTCCTATCACTTTTACTGTGTATCAAATTTAAATAATAATTAATTTCATTATTATTAATTAAATGAAACCAACACGTGATATAAATTCGTCGATTAGAATTTCTCTATAATTGTTTCGCTTTTACTATCGGGTTTCACATCGTTTCCGAATAATTTTATGATAATAAGGATAAGGTGGAATGTATTATACATATATATACACACACACATCGACATTATTATAAAACCCAAGCGTTAAACAGGAACCATTAATATTCGTATCGACATAATTCAGATACGCCCACAATTATTGTACCTTCCAACTCGGTCTTGGGACTTATAAGTAAGTACTCTATTGGGAATAATCAATGTGCAATCATATCTCATAGATATCTTACCTATACAATCATAATATTTGAAATTATTCTTACAGCTTTGATAAATTAGTAATAAATACTATATATTTTTAAAAAGTTGTGTTTATCAAAGAATAAACTTTAATTCTTTTGAATATTTCGATCTTATCTATCGCAGGGTGGGAGTGGGAAGGTGGTTCGTAGAAAAAAAAAATAAATAAATAATAAGTAATAATAAAGTAAGCAAAATAAAATAATTATTAGAATGAATAAAACATTTGTAGGTTCATTGAGTTTGTTTCGCATACTTGCAATGATTTTTTTGAAGTCCATATAAAATGATTTAAAAAATAAAACCCTGCACGAACTTTTAATTCACGCTAATATTAAAGTTAAAGAATAAAATAATAAAAAAATAAATATAAGAGTGTTATAAGAGAATTTGATTTGTAAAACAAACCTGAGAAAATAATCATTGACGAAATCAGGGTGTTCGTCCAACCAAGCTTCCATTCGTGCATATTCCGGATCGTATACGGTCGTAGTTGAGGTGTAATAACTACCCGTTGATTTTCCATCTTGCACCTGTTGCAACATACCCTGACCTGCCGCCATAACGCCCTGCACCCCTTGCACCCCCTGCAGACAAGGAGCTGCCGTTTCCGCCGTCATCCTCGGCTCCTCGATGCTCCGCAAGTGCAGGCCTAAATAATACAAAAAAAAAAAAAAAAAAAACTTTAGGTTAATTTAATTTCAATCTTCCTCTCTCTCTCTCTCTCTCTTTCTTCCTTATTTTTTATTTAATATATTTTTTTTTAAATTTCATTTTACAATGTTAATTTTATCTTAAAGATGTGAAGAAACGTTAGTTGCCTGTGTAAAACGGATTTAATATAAATATTAAAATTTGTTTAATTATTAATATATATATTAATAATATAAATATAATAATATTATATTTATAATATATAAATAATATAATTAATATAAAATATTATAATTATAATATAATATTAATAATATATAAAATATATTATATATTATACATAATTTATAAAATAAATATATATATATATATATATATATATATATATATATATATATATATATATATATATATATATAT